AGACAATGCGTGGGGACATGAATCCAAAGTGTAGAAAGTGTTGAGGCCGCTCACTTGCCCTTGGAGTTCGATGGCTTTTGTGGTTTTCCTCTCCCCACCTCCCGTTCTAAAGATCAGGTTTTCCGGCGGGTCGATGATGAATCCCCTCCAATCATCGGGCATCGAGTCTTTCGACAACAGATTCCTTCCTGCACCTGAATCCATGAGGAATTCCATCTGACATGGATGTGACGCCAATGCAGGGACACTTGAATGATCAATCTGGGACATCGGATTGCAGCGTGTGATGGCGGTCATGATCGTAGTCACGGCTTTGGCCAACAACTGGACACAAGGGACTCTCAAAGAGCTTCGAGTGACCTTTCTGCAAACCTTCTTTGCTTCTTTCAAAGCGGCTTCGGCTGACGGGATTGATGCGAATGCAGTTGCAGCAGCTACGGAAGCGGCTCCGGCATGACTTGAAGAACTAGCACCAGTACCAGACTTCAAACGAGGTTTCGGGCCTTTGTACAAGTTCCCTTTGTCATGGAGGAATTCACAATCCTTCCCGCGAGTGCATGAATCGTATGCGAAGTACATGCATGGCAGTTTTGCTTTCTGCTCCTTGGTCAGCGGTGGCTTGTCCTCCTTGTTCTTGCCTTTGCCATCTTTTCCTTTCCCTTTCCCTTTCTGGGCAAATGCTGCATCAACATTCTTGTCTTCATCAACCTTCTTTGATGCCTTGGGCTTGTCCTCTTTCTTGACCTTTGTGTCTTGCTCTGGCTTCTTTTCCTTCTCTTTCTTTGTCTTCTCTTCTTTCTTCTTCTTGTCTTTTGCTTCTGCTTGTGCCCCTCCAACCTTTGGATCTAGACCTGCTGAGGTGAGAGCTTTGTCCATTGATGTTGTGTTCAAATCCATTTGGGATATCTCAATGGCTTCACACATCTTGCTATACAACCAACGGCTGGTTCGCTTGTAGCTACCAGTGTTTGCTTCCCGAAACTTGTCAATTGCGAGTGCCATTTTGGGGTGATTCTTGAGGCTTTCAAACAACAACGACCTCAGCGACGTTTCAGCTGGCATCTCACTCGGTTCAAGAGCGCCTACGCAAAAGTCATATCGCTGTCGAAAGTCTTCAAGTGCCTTGATGTCACTACCATTCATCTTCAAGGACAAAAGGTGGTGCTGACTAAGTGCCGTTCCGCGGTCGCGATCGAGTCGAAACTTTTGGAAGATCAACCACAACAACTTGCGACCTTTTGGTTGCTGATCATGTGTCTGACATCTCTCTTGGTGGGTCTGAAACTCCAAGGCGAATTTTGTGCCTTTTGCTGCTTCTAGCAATTTGGCGCCTAGGATCCGATCCAAGATGGGAAAGTCCTTTGCATTGTTGAACTCTTTTCCATCTTCCGAGATGTTACAACGATTGATCCAGCGGAACACGACGCTTTCATCATTCTTGGCAAACTTGCAAACCCCACTGAACACTGCGTTTCGGAAACTCCGGCATTTTGCTGCGTCTTGAGGCAAAGCAGGAATCTTTAGATAGTCATACTGTTTGATACGCATTAGTCGTTTCTCTCGTTTGTAGGGGTCCTCCGAATCGCTTGATGAACCATCTCCACTTGGGGATTTTGGTGGTGAGTCTCCGCCCCCTCCAGGGTTTCTGTTTGAACCCTTTGAAGAACCACTTCCTGGCGGCGATCCGGGGACTTTGCGGCGGTCTCTTGATCGGTTCGATGATGGCTGATTGCCCGATTGCACAGGGTTTGCCGTCAATCCACCAATCAATTGCTGCATTTGAATGGTCAACTGATGCACTTGCATTTGCAAAGCAGTGTTTTGGTCACTTTGGATTTGAAGTCCGATCTGATCGTTTAGCAAGGCAGCGGGAGGCAACATTGGATTAGCCTTTGGTATCTCTCCTGCACAAGCGGACTGAGTTGGTGAAGGTGCCAAATGCAGCTCTTCACCATTGGTTCCTGTGGCAATGGGCGTCAATGCAAACGAAGGCAACGCGACCCGCGACTCATGCATTGGTTGACCCTGGAATGCGACCGTGCCAGGATGGTAGGATTTGGGAGTTGCAATACTATGTACCACCGGAACCAATTCACCCATTCCATGAACTTTCATTGATGGACTCGGCTGACCAACACTTTTAGGTTTCCTATCAACGAACGAGGTTGCCTTTGGCGGCGGACTGCAAGGATGGATGGTGCTTGGTGCCCCTGGAGTTCCACTCTTTGCAAGGGACTGCAACCTTTCATCTTGATCCTTGATCCTCCTCATCATTGCTTCCATTTGACCCCTCATTTCATTCATTTGCCTAGTGGTGGACTCTAGTGCTTTCTCCCTTTGGTTCAATGCACCGGTCACTTCAACCACCTGGTTTGTGCGATCAATCACTAAAGCCTTCAATTGCTCGATCTGGTTCTGGTAATCAGCAACCTCTTGATGAGACTGGTTCATCAAACGGGTAGCTTGACCTTGGGTCTGACGGACCAGTTCATGGGCTTCTTCTTGAGACTGCTGAACCATGCTCCTGGCAGTGGATTCTACCGCCTGGATTTGAGACCTGGCTTGGTTTTCAATGGATTGAACTTGACTCTGGATTTGGGCTTGAGCATTAGATTCAATACCCTGGATCTGCTGAAGGGCTTGGTTCCTAAACTGGCTCTCCATTGCTTGGACATACTGAGCAGTCTGGTTCCTAGCATTGGCTTCAACTTCAGAGGCGTATTGAATGGCTTGACCCTGCACTTCGGACACGACCTGGTGAGCCTGAGCTACTACCAGAGGGTTCAAATCCAAAAGATTGACTGATCTGGCATCTGTGAAATGAGACGACTGGTTGCTTTCGAACACAATCTGTCTTGCATCAATATGACCGATGGTCGGTTGTTGGTATTCAACATCCGTCCTTGCTGTTGGGTTTCCTTGATTACTTTGAACCATCGATGAGTGAGATGTTTCTGTCAGGGATGACAAACTCGTATCTTGGATAGGAGTTGCAATGGCTTCCCCAAACATGACAATCTGTTCACTCTCCGGTGAACCATGCGCACTTCCTCCTGATCCCTCCATCGCTTCTTTTCAAAGATCAAACGACGTCTACTCGGCTGCAATGAAATTCTCAACTGCCTCCTTCGTCCAGCCGTCGCTCAACCAATTGGCGTATGGATACGCAGATCCGCTGTTCAAGCTCCTCTTCCGTGAAAGCTTAATGTGAATCCCTGTTGCCCTGTCGGTGGCCAAAGTGGCTTCCAACTCAGCTAGGATATCAGCGTTGTCGTCGATCAAACAACAAGACAAGTGATCCCCCAACCGTTCGGCAAATCTCGAGATAACTGCAGCCTTCCCTGTCGGACCTTCCGGCTCGAACGTACAAATGATCCCGTCAAACAAGTGATGAATCCCTTCGCTGTTGCTCCAAATGTCCTTGCACGCTTGATAGCGCCCCGAACTCCCAATGAAAGAAAGAACGAAAACAAATGGAATACGCTCGTGATCCAATGCAAACTGTCTGAACTTCTCGACCGCCTCAATGTTCTCAACTCCCACGCGACCTGTCTGTCTGCAAGTATCGCTGTGATCCCTGTCAAGAACCTGATGGTGATCAACAAAAAGGACCTTAACCTGGCCAATGTCTGCAACTGCTCCCAAATGCACTTCCTGTGACTCCCAACGAGTATAGCGACTCTCCGCTGCCTCAAAGGTAAGGAAATGTACCGTGTCCGGCAGAACAATCGAGACTTGAACTGGCTCTGGCCTCCGCGGCGGTGCCTTTGCAAATGCCTTTGGCGTAAGGCCAATCACAGCAGGCGGTACCGGAACAGCGGGCTCAGGCCTAGGTGGCAGTGCCGAAGCAGCTAACCTATGCGCCTCCTCGAATCGAGCTCTGTACGTTTGAAGAACCTCCTCAACAATCGTCACCCGACTCTGTGCGCAAAAGTTAAAAGACGTAACACCGTTCAGCAAATGCGGATGTGTCAACGCAAAATGCCCCTCAGCCACGCCCTGGCGAATGAACGCCCTCTTCTGTGCTCTGCCGCTCTTTCCCGAGCGAGGGAACCTCAGAAGCTTGTGGAGCTCCTCGTACTCGGGATGCTCCGGATCGGAATAACCCCCTTCAGGCGGGGGCGGACCAGCGGGTTCAGTCGGACGACGTGAACCAGAGGAAGATGCGATGGCTGCAACGACGGCCAACAACCGATCGCAAAGCGATACGGCTGATAACCAATAGAACACAGCAGCCGCCCCTTTTTCCCACAGTCTTGAGCCAAACATGTCCGGTGAAGTGAAACGTCAATGACTGGATCATGTGATGGCTACATTCATTAAGATTCCTATGACTTGCATGTCAAGTGATACACAGTACTTGGTGACACATCGAATGCAAAGCTTGCCTGCAGAGATGCTCTTTGGTTGTTCATGGACTGCTTCAAGGACTGCTTCCCCTGGCGTGCCAGATGCATCGACCAGGGTGCTTTGCTAGTGGATTAGGGGTGGTGGTTTCACCCCATGTCTCTCTCCTGGCAAACGCCTTACTGTGTGGGTATTCGCAGCAAAGGGTACTGCACAGTTTCCTTCTCGTCGAGTTTACGGACCCCTCTGCGAGACGCTCCATCAACACCGCATCGCGCGAAGCCGCATCGGTGCCCAACCGAAGCGAAAGAGAACTGACGAGCGATCGTTTTCCGTAGCTGTGGGGGCACTCCGTGTGTTCAAGACGTTGGATCAACTATGACATCGGAAGACCCAATAGGCCAGAAACCCTGTGAACTACCATACTCAGAGTTTCTGCTGAGATGCGGGTCCCGGGTCCCATTTCCGGGTCCCGGGTCCTGGGTTTGTGTGCCCGGATTGATGACTTCTATTGCCCAAAACCATTGACTGAAGTCACCATATCGAACATTGACAGTTCATTTGTGACCTGGCAGTGCCACCCAGAATATCTACAGACTGGCCCCAACCGCCCTCATCCGCCCTCTTCTCCATCATCCGAAGGCCCGAGACTCTGGTGGGCCCATCAATGTCACCCGGCTGCGTGGGGCCGCAGGTGGGATGGACCAAAATGATGGAGTTCTGTACATCCTTGTTGGCATGAACCTCAGGCTGATAGGGAGGTTCTGAAATTCCCGCCGTATTCGGGCTGGGATGGAGGGATGAAGAGGGACCAGACGGTGCTGGATGGGAGGATGAAGGACCAAGTTCTACAGCTTGGGATCATTTCTTTTTGTTAGAAGCCACCCAAGTTTTGGAGCAATTCTCCTTTTATATACTTGAAAACACTCTCACAGCCAGTACAGCAACCAGTTTGGGGTGCTCATCTCCGGGCAACAGCGACCACAAGAGCGTCTTCCCACCATAAAGTCCATAGCATTTGCAATGTAGCACCGACCAATGGCACTCAGTGTGACTTGAATATTACAGTAACTCAAACTCCAAACCCTGTGTTGATGCAAACCAAACAACTTATTGTCACCCTGAGGTCTGATTGTATCCATTGCAACTCGACCCTGTGAAAAGCCAACTCATGCAAAGCACAAAGTTCGCCTCCGGTGTTTTCATCCAACAAACTTTGCCCGCATATATACAGTATGTATACAGTATAGAGATACACATGCCCGCCATACCCCTTGGCGTGTTGCAGGAGTTCAAAATCTATCACAGGCTCAAACAATTTCTTGAATTGCTCCACCACATCTTTTTTTGCAAGTGTTCTTCTTCAAACAACTTTGGGTTTTGATCCAGATTGCATTCTAAACGTGAACATGTAACATCAACTTCTACATCAATACCACAATTCTTTTGTGCACTGCAGGTAACTAAAAAAAGTTGGAGCAGTTCCGGTATGTCTTCCTTATATCTGTTGGTGTCCTTTTTCATCTACTAGACAAAATACTGGATTATAGTGTGCATTGAAATAAGTTCAAATGTTGTTCATTACCATCCATATGAGATGACAGCTGAACAATCTGAACTTTATCGCATGTATAATGCAACCTTTTGACTTGACCATTCTCAATACACAAGATAGCAATATGCCAGCTTCAATGATTCAATACCTCTTTCAATTATATATAAATTTGCATGTGTCAATGCAACAATGACTACATCATTGAATTGTGTGGGAATTTCAGCAGCCTTAGTGTCTATAAGTACGATACAACAGGACCTTTGAGAGGTATAAAAAGAGATCTCAGCTGAAGGTGTAATGCCTTCTAGAGAATGCAAGGTTCGAGGCAGGCTTACTGCCTCAAACTAAGATTAGATTATTTTTGAATTATTGATAGATTGTCAGAGTTTCACAGCCTTTCTCCCTGAAATTGGCTTTTTTTACTTATTGAATACTCCAACTTTGTATGGAATCTAGCATTCCTGCTCTATTTCCTGGTGCAACCTTGCTTGAGTATTAAATGACTCTCAAAACAACGATATACACCCGTAGATATAAGTCGGAAAGAACTTGCAAGGGGTATGAGATAAAGTTGCATAACTAAGCTACCTTACACACACAATAAACAGAAACTCGACATCTAGTGACCCAGCTCATTCAAAAGTGGTGTCAAATCACTCAGGCTCCATGGCAGCTTTGGATAGTGCTTGCTTTAGCATGAAGGGACCAGGTATGACTCATGACATTGTGAGATAGTCTTTACAAACGTGCATATCTTGCCTGTTGTGCGCCTTTCTTAAAATATGTCAGGCACATCCAATTTGGTAACCGTCATACTTGTCGCAGCGCTTCTTTCGCACTTGTATCCAGCAAACCAGAAAACCCTAGGGAAAACCAATTTGATTATTCATGTGACTCAAATAACCTGATCTCCCAGTAGCAACTAGTACATTCTGTCCCATTTGATCATGAAAGACTAGTCCAGTCAAGTCTCCTTTGGCAACTTATTATGTCTACACCAATCAGGAGCTTCAACAACTTTAATATCTTCAAGGTTAATTGTTGCAACTGCTTCTGGATTCAAGAATCTAGACTTCAGTAGCCTTAAATATTCAATCTTCAATCCAAAGGCAAGTGCAACTAGTTGCAATTACGTTGGCTCCAAACTCAAGATGTGAAGAACACCCTTTTGCAGCCATATATTGAATCTTAAATTCTTAAATCAAGCTTGAATCCCCGTTTGGCTTCTCTGCTTTTGACAAGTGACCAAGAGCTCGAAATGAGCTTTGTGCACCGGATTTCGGTTTTGGAAGGCTACCACTTGCTTCCCTGCAGGCAATGCAGCGCGCACCTGTGCGCAAGGCTTTCCTGCTTGATCAGTCACCTACCCACCTAGATGGACCTGGTACTACCTGTGATACATTGGAGTGCGGCTCATGTACGTCATCTATGGGAGTTGGACTCTGAATGCCACAAAAGCGCGATGCTGGGTCTGAAATTGTTTCCTCTCAGACTGAAGAGCGGTATGATCAAGAAATCACAACCCGGCAAAGGATCTACGGTCTCATAGCTCTTCTAGGGGTCGCCTGTTGCAACCTACGGTGTATGCAATGACTCAGTCCGCGATGCAGTGTATTTTGTAAACCTGAACAGCCCTGAGCTACGCGGTGGTCTTTGTACGCTTGACTGGGTCATCTCCTAAACTTCCTGGCTGCATTGGAACTACTCTTCGTTTCGTTCGGTGCTTCGCGGTCTCCGGTCGCCGGACTCGATGTGCGCCTGCGCAGGCGTGTTGAAGCCCTTGCCCCAAACCACATCGAAGCCTTTCATGAGGCCATGCAACTGACCTCCGCAGCTGGAAGGCAGGCGAGCTCTGACCGGAGGAGGGCTGGTCTGGGCAAGATCGCTCCCTCCCTCCCTCCCTCCCTCCCTCCGTCTCAGCCGCGACTTCTTGGCTGACACAAAACGCTCCTGGTTCCCTCCCGACGAAATAAACACCAGCTCACAGGGGGCCAACCAAAAATGCTCGAAATGGCAGGATTGCAACAACAGAGCTACGGACTTTGCCAAACATCTCGAAGAATGTTTGCGGCTGAGTCACACGCCTTGAACCACTCCATGACGGAAATTGATGTCCCACCCCAAACAGAACCCGTCTGACGCATCTCAGCCCTCTATCCCTTGATCTCGCTCATCAACGATCGGAGCTTCTGTCACTCAATCCCAACACACCTATTTCCAAGCCCAGCCACCTCCCACGTAAAACTTTCCCAAGTCCGCAAAAAGCTCGGCCACTGAGGGGTGCTCGGTGGAGGTGGTGCCATAGCTAGCCTGGTGAGTCTGTCCGGAAATCTCGGGAGTGACCGTCACGGAGGTTGGCATTTGATACATCAAAGCACATGTTTTGTCAAGTGTCAAGATGGGGTGGAAAGCTCATTGAGGACCCAATGAGAGCTCAAGCTTCCACCTCGGCAGACCTCGCACGACCTCGCATCCCTGGCCTTGGCTTCCTTCACCTTAGTTGAGATGGCAAAAGTCCGCAGGAAGTTGAACCTGAAGGGAACCATGTCGAAACCCGCATGCATAAGCTTTGGGAACAGTCACTGCTTGATGCACATGTCTCTCTTGTTTGACTGTTCTGTTCAGCCTTGTTATCGTGCATGCTACTCACCCATCTTGACAAGGGTACAAATCAATCTACATTCTCAAAACATCTCATTGAACCCGTGCCGTCTTCGCGTCAACGACCTCATGCTGGAATGGCATGTTTCATCAAAGTGTTACTACTAGCTTCTTGCTACGTTCGTAGCGATGCACCTGTTACTACTAGCGATGCCCTTGCTACTAGTAGCAAGAATGCTCTTGAAAAAGAAAAACATCTCGCCACATGCAGCTGCCAAGGCACCTTGTCAGGTTTCCACACTTCCTCAGCCTCTAAGACCTGGACGGTTTTCCGGTCATCCGTTCTCGGACGAATTCTTCGTCGAACGTCCGTCCGAACCTCCGGGACATTGGTCTCAGCCGGGCAGCTCCTCTTAGGTCTCCAAGTTTGGGGAGGGGCAAGCCATGATTTCCCGTTTCTACCTGATAGAAAAACAAGGACCAGCCAATGACTAACCAACACCCTCCGCACCTGACAAGCCATCCTGCCGTCTCCCGGGAGACATCATGGGTGCATTCTTCGCCAAGCATCTGCGAGCTTGCTTCCCTTGTAGGTCAGCAGCACCTTCTTGCCTTTCCTGAAGGTCAATCATCTCTAGATTGAAGGTCAAATACACAACTCCTTGGGCCAAGCACCTCCTTCTAGCACGTCTTTGACTTTCTCTTTGTGGATCTGTAATCAGCTCCAAGGTGCAACGACTCATCGCTGACGTCCAGGACCACTGGCCTCGTCTCGAGCCGAGCGGGCCGCTGGAGTGATGCAGTGGATATTTTGGTGTCCTATTGTCATATTGTGTTCTCAAGTCCAGTCTTGCAAACGCAAGCTTAATGCAAGTCTGAGTCTAGTAAACAAACGAAACAACGCCGACGCCGACGCCGATGAAGAGGACGATGACAAGGAGGAGGAGGAGGAGGAGGAGGGAGGAGGAGGAGGGGAGGACGACGAGGAGGACGAGCAGGAGGACGACCTCGACCTCGACCTCGACCCCAACAACAATCACAACCACAACCACAACAACAACAACAACAACAACGACAACGACAACGACAACGACAACAACAACACCTCACAGGGCGATCTTCAAAAAGTTTTTTTGTTTTTGCGAAGATGCGGATGTGTGGAGGATTTGGAGCCAAACAATCTCTGGAGAGTCCCGCAGGAGGAGGGTTGATGGGAGCGAGCCTGTTTGTACTCCTACTCTGGCCAAGACTGTGCAAAGCAAGGTTTGCACAAGTGATTTTACAATGATTTTACAGAAAGTTTCATCTTGCAGATTCTTGCAGTGACACCATCCTCAAACCCCATTTCAGAACAGGTTCTGACAACACAATTCTGAGCTTCTTGTAAGAAAGGAGCTGATGCTCATAGAGTCTGAACCTATCTTCATGTTTCTGTGGAAATTATGATTATCATATTCCCATCCAGGTAATCTAGTAGAATAGATCCCATAATCACTCGATAGTCGCCATGGTGCTTTCCGGGGGGTGTTCCAAGGTGTTCCAAGATCAATATACAGTACATCCTAATTCAACCACCTCAGGACGGTCTCCGGACGGTCGAACATGGTCGAACAAGACGGCGGAAACGTGGCAGGTGTCAACCCGCCCGCAGGCCGTCGGCTACTTGACTGCATGCTAAGCCACAGCCCGAACAAATGTCCGGAGGCCAATCGCATGTTCGACACCTCGCGCAGAGGTCAAAATACTTTTCTGGGAGAATACATCCGTCTCGCAAATGTGCACAAATTCTCCATGCAGAGGCTTTCACAGAACTGAGTTGGGAGGAAGCTAGCCATCTCAGAAACTCGTCAACAAGCCGGAATTGCTATCCATAGGGTGCGTACCCAGACCACAGGAGTAAAATGCATTAAACTAAGTCCTCTCTGGGTTATATCATCCGCCCTCTGGTTCTGCAGGGCATGACGGTAGACTGCCGCCATGGAACCACTGAGTCGTAGTCTGCTTGCTTCATGAAACCCTTCAAAGGAGAGAATCCTTGGCCCCGGCACGTCCAAAGCAGGGCGAGGGGCGGCGTTTCCCAGGGCGCTTCCTCCAGGCCTCTGATCTGGAAATCCACTGGGGTCTACCATTCTACCATGTAACGAGTGCGAACTTGGAAGGGTTCAGTGCCGAAAAAACTTTGAACTTGACCTGCTTTTCGGTTGCCAGCTTTGCTTTTCGGGTAGACAAGGGCGCTTGATCGTCTTGGGCCGATGCCGTTGACGCATGCGCTACATGCGCTCGGCGAAAATTCCGACATGGAGCTGTCGGGATTCTGAGTGTCAAATATGGGTCAAATCCAGTTGATAGAGAAATACATACAGCCACAAAAAGAGTTGTTGTAGGTTGTGATCCCTACTAGTACACTCAAATCTCTTGCTAGACCTATTCCCTATTCTTTAAAGGTTTGTATCTGGCACTGGCACTGCTCGCAGTCGTGGAGAGTATATGGGCCTCAACTGCCTTTTGCTCCCACAATGCTCATCTGCGCTGCAGTGATGTATGAAGATTGCCCGCTGACCCATCGGCACTGAAAGCAAAAAAACAGAAAACAAAGAACTGCATGGCCTTGGATGTTTTATGATGCTACCAACCAACCAACCAACCAATGTCGATTGCTTGCTCCGGTCCCCATTTCTCACACGTCAGGCCAGAAAACACCGGCCGTTCACGCCGGCCATCACGTCTCTCGCGCCGAGAATCCTCCGTTGATCAGCAGGGACACATCACAAGCCTGGCGGATGTGTCCCAGTGATGGTCGGAGGTCGCAACCGCCGACCGCTGTAGGTGAACAGTTCGCTAGACGGTCTAGACGATAGCTGACAGCTCCTGGCTGTGAATGTGAAAATCCACTGCCTGAAAAGAGAAGTACTCATTCCATGTGGCTGTGGTGCGACACCTTCAATTGACCCTTCAATCCGTCCTCGTGTGCAAGAATGGCTATTATCATATCTAGAGAATCATGATGAAGGTGTACTCTGAGGCCACTTGCCTCCTTCAGGCAATCCTCCAATCAGTGATTCTTTAGCAACTTCTTGCTTTCTTCCATCCAGCCACCTCAGTCACCCCCCCCTCCCCAGACCTTGCAAGCACGTGGCTCTACGAGGCTCTCTCATCGCGCCTGGCGCTGCGAGAGCTCCAGCGTGGCCGTGGCTGCGGAGGCGGACGTGGCGTCCGCCACCATCAAATCCTCGGGTGAAACGGCGCCATGGACGGCGCCGATTGGGCAGGTGAGGTCTTGGGTTGAGGTTGGAGGAGTCCACGGTTTTTGGCATACAATTTTTTTTGTGCGGGGCGCGGGTGGGTTTCCCGCAGTTTCCTGATTTCTGGAGAGTTGCTTATTGATCTTTGACTGAAAGCAAGATAATGCAAGACTCATGAGTTTTTGGGAACAACAAGTGATTGGAGTAGGATCAAACAAGATTGGCCCGCGATCTGCACCGTGTCTCTCGTTCTAAACCCTGAAACGAGTTCTAAACCTCTAAACCGTGCCTCAGCGATGCTCTCATGCGGAAGGAGCTTCATTGGCTGGTAAGACCATGGTGCTCTCTGCGTCACTGTCTCAGCTCTCTGCCCGTCCCCGGTGCATGGGCCAAGCAGCCACCAAGGCTCCTCCGTGTGGCTCGCCGGGGCCGGAGCTGCACTTGCCCGTGGCGGCGTCGCAGGTCTCATCTTGCGCCAAGCAAGAGACCTCAGGTCGGAGGGTTGGGGGTGGCTTCTGCAATGTTGGGTCTTAAAGAGTAAGCCCTGCCAGCCCCCTCCCTACCAAACAGTTGAGGAAGTGTGAGCAAAAGCAACTATCCTCGTCCTCGTCGTCGTCGAGGTAGACATAGAAGTAGTAGTACTTGTAGCAGCAGCAGTAGCAGCAGGAGTTAGGAGTTAGGTTTTGGTAGTTAGTGGTTTCGTGTTGGTAGTTCGCAGTAGCAGTAGGAGGATGGAGGAGGAGTAGCAGTAGTAGCAGTAGTAGTAGTAGTAGCAGCAGCAGCAGTTGTTGTTGTGGTCGTCGTCATCGTCGTGGAACAATAGAACACAATGCTGATGACTTTTTCCGTCAAGGGCTCCAAGTGTGCACATGATCATTTCCGACCCCCTAAGCAATATGTACAATTCACTTGCCTAGGGCCTAGGCCTTGTGTACTCCCCTTGAAAAACTGATTGGAGTAATGACTTCAATGAGTTTAAACAGGGTTCTTGAATACGGCTTTGAGGTCAGAGTTCCAGGGATCAAGCAACACCTCAGAACAGGTGAAGCAAATTATCAGAAGAGGTGAAGCAATAACTGAACGATAGAAAACTAAATCAATCAACAAGCCCGATGTAGCTGTCTATTTTTCCGACTCCATAAACTATTGAGAGTGTAAGAATACTTTTTGAAACTTTTTACTATTCCCTACCACTTGACTATTTGGGATTTTTGTCGATCTAGGAGCAAATACCTGCATCATCTTGGACATTCTTGGAGCTTGAGCAACACTGCTATAATATAGATTCCTAACTGGAAACCACTGGATGCACATTCCTTGACAATCGAGATTGAATACTTGCCCTCTCTTCTGAGAGGCTCACTATGTTTTACTGTAATAGCCTCCCTTCAGCTGCGTCAGCCGCAACAGCCAAATACGATCGAAACTGCACTGCAAGGAAGCAAACGTGGGCGAAAGGAGGAAACAAAACGTGCAAGCTTGGTCCAAGAACAGCCTTAAAGAAAAGCTAAGAGCTCTGCCAGACCTGCAAGGAAAACCAAAGGGCGAAACGCCCCGAAAGGCGCCATGGTGTCTCTTGACTGCTGTAACGCTGCAGGATCAGCGAACGACCAAAAGGCGGTCCTCGAACATGACCAGACCACAGCAACAAAAAACAGCTGTTTTTCGTGCGTTTACAGTAATTCAAACGCAACAGTTTGAAGGCAAACACTTGCGATGGCACAATTGCTAGTCCCTTGGTCTACGTCAACATGATCTTCAAAGCAAGTCGCAGAAGAACTTGCATGGAAGTACAAACTGATGAGCAATCGCACGAGCTGCCTGCCTTTCGCTTGATGCCATCCTTCAACATCCTAAAACCACGCCCCTTCAAACCACCTGTTATCCGCCAGTTATCCGCCCACTCTGTTCTCCGCCCGCAGGCCTCAGTGAAGAGGGCCCACTCCAATGCTTCATCTTCCTGAGACATGAAGAAGCACCGGGAGCCGAGGGAGCCCGTTCGCAACGTGGGCTGTTCTGTGGGCCTGTTCACGGTGGCTCGTTTCGGTGTGCGAAATGGGTGTTCGTTGGGGGTGTCGGAAGAGGTGCGAAGAGGTGCGAAGCAGGAGACAGCTGCTGTCGCATGAAGCCACAGGTCCACGCCGTGATGGTCCACGCCGTGGACTCGTTTTCCTCATGTTAGCCTCTTAGAAAAACGCCCAAGACAGGCAGGCCTTGCTGGTAAATCATGTTGTTGTCATTCTTCACCTTACTACAGTAAGTGTGTCACTCAATCCTCAGGTGTTTTTGGATTCCGTGGTCCACTATACTGAAACATTGATCTTTTAGTCAGGAACACTTTTGCTCTTCTTTGCTCTCCCTTCTCCGCGCTTTTCCGGCTTCTAAAACCGCCCGCCTCAGCACTCGAGATGTATGGCTGCGAATCCTCCAGGTCATGAGTCCGCCACCACCTGTCACAGGTGTTCCGACGCTGTCACGGTTCTCCAAAAAGAAGCTTCGATGCTTCGCGAAGCAATCCAGCTGTGGACTCCCTATGAATATCTTTGAACTAGCTCGATTCTTCTTGTCTTGGATCAATTGAAATCATTTGCGGCATCCATCCCTGCAAATAGAACCAGTCGCCCGAATACAAGGGACAACTTGGCAGCGGTTTCCGGCATACCATACCCCGTTATTCACACGGGAGGAGACTCGATGATTTCTCCTGCTTCAATACCAGGCCCATGTCATTTCCAGGAGCATACAGTACATCAAACAAAACATACTTTTCAACTGAAAGCCAACAGGTCCCCACTCAAAACTCGAGCTCTTCGAGCCGAAAGCCTGAATAAATATCTCAAGCCCCACATCTGAATAGTCTATAATGGATGTGCCTAAAAGGATTACACACCAATGTGCTAAAGTCATCACCATTTGCACCACCAATATCGCACCGTTCCACCGTTCGATCGAACCCAAAACGGTGCGAGCTCCACAGATGGGCTGCAGCAGTTGTGATGCGATCCTCGGGGAGTCGATGGGATGGAAAGGGAAGGACCTGGTGCATTGGGAGTTCGCATGGCTTTAAGAAAAAGACTGTAAAGACCCTAATAGCGATGGCCTCCAACCTAACGGATGGCCTCCAACCTAATAGCGATGGCCTCCAACCTAGTAGCGATGGCCTAACTAATAGCGATGGCCTCCAACCTATGAACGAAACCTGGGAAATCTCGTGAATCAAGGCACTGGAGCACCATGGAGCACTCTCGTGTGTCTTGAATGATGCTCAATTCAGCATTCACATCAAGGAACACTAGGCAGGGAACATGGAGACCCCCTACGATGCCAACATGCGCGGCCAGTGGGACCCCCAAAAATCCCTCAACCCCCCTGCGATTCGACATGCACGCACATGCATAGAAACATCGATTGTTTAACACCAGCTTCCAAACATGTTCCAAGTCACCGTTTTTGGATCGACCTGAGTCAACACCCTCAGAATGAGCAGTTGGCAGGGTAGCACTCGGCATCACTCGGCGTTGGCATTCTGAGGCGGCGCACGATCTTGTGCAGCTCCCGTGGGGGTCGCATGTAGCTGAAGACCTCAGCAAGGATTCAAGGAAGGGAAAGAGGGGCTCGGAAGGACGACATATACATCATTCTTTACATAAAATATTCTAAAATAGAACGTTGCACCAATAAAAGAAGCTAATCTGTAACTTAGGTCTCGAACCTGGTATCTTTGTTTGGAAGCAGGCTAAGCAGGCCGGCCAAGGTCTCTACCCACGACTCCGGGGACACTCAGCTGATTGCGGCTAATTCATGGAAATTGCCGGGCATTGTACTTCAATAACTCCGAGAGGGAGATTCCCGTGAGGAAAAATCAACTGCAGGCAGCTGTGGGAGTTCTTCCTGTCAGATTCCCCCTGAAAAATATCAACGCTTAAAGGAAGTGGAAACATGTGGACACTACCTGTTTGCGTTTGGGAACATGTGCTTTAATTACCAGCTATGGTCCCCTTTTTCAGCTTGGGTCGCTGTACTTCCCGCCGGTCCCCTTTCCTCAGCATCTGGCTTTCCGCAAAGCGCCCACCACACCCGTACCGGCCAAATCCTCGGTCCGTAGAGCCGTCGAGAGCTCATGACCGACCATGCCATCAAGAGCAATGCGGTGACTCCGCAAAGCGAAGTGCCCAAACAAAACACATGAAAACACGCAATTCATCTTACTTCACCCCTCGATCTTTCGCAACTGTGATCTAACATCAGCAAACGGCCTTGCACACTTCACCGCCGACTCAATGGACATGGCTAGGAGGCTGACACCAGCGTTCTCGTCGCTTCGCCGAGGACGTCACGACGACTTCTTGGCTCGGCCGGACGTCTTGGAGCCCGGCCATGGTATGGACAAAGGCCAAGCGAAGCGTTTGCGCCAAGGAGAAGTCCTGGTGACGTCGCGGCGTCTCTTGAGGTCTAAATGCCCTAGCTCTGTGAATATTAAGAACGATCACTTGGTTTGTCACCAAGAGAATGACAAGTACACTGAGTACCAGAAGTGCTCGTCTCTCTGTGACTCATGTAGGACAGCTCTGGTGCTCCGGTGCATCCCCTTTTTTGTATCTAACCTGCATATGAGCCATAATCAAACATCTAATTAGTGTGTGTTTTTCACATGGTTTTCCCCAGAGAAGCAAGCAGCTTTTTTTTGCTTCAGGCCCCTGGCTTACGAGACCAAATCCGCTCCCTCTCTGAATGGCCTCACCCATGAAGGCGCCCAATTCGGAGGGATCCACCTGCGATGAAAGATCGAGGGCGGTGAGAGGATCTGGGCGGTGAGAGGATCTTCACAGCTTGGTTCCAAGATCGTTCCCTTTTCCCCCAACAACTGGGCTTTGCAAGGACTTGCATGTCCCGAGTAAAACGCCTTGTGCTCAATGAGGAAGGCGCTCAAGTCTGTTGGATGGTCATGAACCACACCTGGCACTCCAAACATGGGTTGCTTGATGCCATGTCAGGGCAACACAGACTTCATAGTTTGGTTGGTGCAAAGGCCAAAGACCACAGCAACGGTACTGGTGCCAACAAATCCGAACTGTAACTCTATGACAACCTACTACCTACCAAATATGACTATATATATATATCTACCAGTAGGTTCGCAGTTCGCATGGAGTCAGTCCAGGCCGCCATTTTGTGCCACACACCTTTCATGCGGCCCGACGAGCGGCGGCGTGCGCTGCACGACACCTGACAGGTCACAGAAAAAGACAGCAATTTAAAAGAGTGGGGTGACGACGGCTTTTCCCCAGGACTTTGCAGAATTGTTCACAAGGACTTCCTTGTGTACTAGCAATTGCCTCGCAACTTGCGGCCTTCGTATTTACAGAAGCAAACAGAAGCGCAAACAAATAGGAACATATTGCTCTGAAAAGGATTGGTTGCAGGACTGCAGGACCTCCAAACTTTCTCAACCTGTCAATGGGCAGCCAGAGTAATGTACAACGCCACGGAGTTTGTGCTCCATTCAGAACCTCACACCCGCAGAATTCCCAAGCAGCTCCCTTGCCCATTCTTTGGCTGAAAGCCACTAGGCTTTGCGATGTGCAAAGGAAACCCAACAAGGATTTGATACCACAACGGGTATTCATTGTGATCATTCTGGCTGGTTTCCAAGTCTAGCTCATAGAATACAATGATATGACTCATTCACAAAAGTTTGAATGCTGTGTAAGCTGCATGGGTCGTTTGCAAACACAGGGAAACTGTATTGCTTCCCGCAGTTTCCATTCTATTCAAACTGTTACTTCACACATAGTTACAGTACACAGTTCTTGCATATTTACGCGGTGGAACCTGCCAGTCCAATTTCAATCATACTCACCCCGTTGGAAAGCTACTGTTGAAACAAACAAGACTTGGTCGGGTTTCCTTACCCATTCAATACTAATGCGCAACGCGCTTGCAGCGCGTGATTCAGCGTGTGCCTCAGGACATGGCGAAAAGCTACGACCCCAACTTAGGCAAGCTGGGAATGTTGGTCTGATTGACACCCTCAATTACTCTGGAGTTATAGGCAGGGACAAAGCCATGGAGTGGTAGTATGCTTTCTATCTAGCCACCAAGCAATGCAATGGCAAAACAAGTCAAACATCTCACAGCCATTTCACAGCCACACTCGGATAGGCTGCCTCTCCGCAGGCACCGGGTGAAAAACCGCTTCCGTGCATTAAAACCGACTCGTTCGATCCATCGCTTTCTGGTGCCATTGTTTCGAACGCCTGAGGCTGGGACACGTCAAATGCTACTGCTGTCACTGTTGGCACTTTGAACCTGTCGCGTCGTTGCAAATGGGAGGAACCGGACCCCGAATGGCCCGAATCACAATGATGTGCCTGGGCCTCCGTGCCCAAGGAACACTTTTGGCTCTGAGGCGAAAACGTACCATGAAGAGGAATCAAAAGGGAGAAACTACAAGGATGGGGAACACTCTTTGAGCTTTCATTCTCTTGGAATGCTGTGGTGTGCATTGGCTTGGGCCAATCTTGGTCGATATGTTGGACTCACCAATGGCATTGAATCCTTAAGAACCCGGTACTGAGCATTTTTGATGGTTATTCACACCCAAAGAAACTCTTCAACGCACCAGTTTCGGCTTGGACACCCGATGGACCATCTGGGGACCGTGTCCAAAAACCCTGCGAAAGAAGGCCTCCAGTCTCTCCACGCGGCCTGCAGGCACAAAGCACAAGAATGCTCCCAAGTACCCTTCCAGGGGCACAAATCATGGTTGCGTGGCCCCTTCCATCACTTGGGTCATTGGCCAAAGGCCAAACGCACAGTTCATGTGCCTTGGAGGTCTGTAGCATTTGCAATGTTTCTTGATCCACCTGCAATTCCAAGAATCTCCGGCCTGAAGCTAGCGAATCCCCCGAGCTGCCCGAGCTGGCAGAGACCACATCTGACAGCGGAGTGACCCGAAGCGCCAACCGTCGACATGTCATGTGGAGCCGTGCCATTTTAGATCATTTCAACTGGGCGCATGTGCTTCAAGGATTCAGGCTTTGGAAATCGGAAACTATGGAAAGGTCCCAACGCTGTTCCACCTACAAAGATTGTCCTGAAGAAATCTTCTCATGGAATCCAAAGAACCAGCAAGCCTTAAAACAAATGCAAGTGGCCCCAACAGCTGTTTGGTTGCACCCGAGCATAATGAGCTAGCAAAGTCCTTACCCACAATGCTTCATGGATTCATGTATATAACTCTATATATATATAATATTATATAATTAATATGTCTATTCTGCTGTTGCCCCTACCAACCGAAGAACCGTTTGGTTACGAGCAGCTTAGTAGCGAACTCCATTCCAATCTACGCACATCTCTCTCTCTCTATATATGACATATATATGTATATAAATGAACTTGCAAATTCTCTTGATTACCAGCTCTGGGGCTCTGGGTGTGTCCACCCAAATGGAATCAAAGGGGTCTGGTTGCCTCGCTTACCCCACCCGGCTTGCCCCACCCCCAATGGCATTCCCCGAATGCCTAGGTCTTCCACCGTGTTCGGCGATGGCCTGGGTGAAGCGGAACGGAACATCCGTCGTGGGCCGGTCGTTGCCGCAAAATCCGGCGAAGCACCGCCATGGGCTGATTCAATCGATTCAATCGATGCTTACGGGAAAATCTGCAGGAAACCCTTGCTTTCATCCCCAAAACTATGGCTTTCCTGTAGATTGTCCCCTAAACCAATTCAATTCTGGGATTCAACCGCACATGGCCATTCCTAGACCCACTACTAGACCGTACAGCCCTGATGTGCTTGCTTAGGGTGCCCCAAAAAACAGTCGGCTGTGTGAAGGTTGCTCGATCATTCCTTGGACAATGGAGACTGTTGGAGTCTGGATGACTGTTGGAGTCTGGAAGGTGGCTTCTAGTTACTAGATGTTACTAGTAGCTTCTTGTTCCTAGTAAGGCCAGGAGCCCCTAGTAGCATTAGTAGCGTCCGATCGCTCCGTTCGTAGCCCTTCTCCGCGTGCCGCCTCAGGGCAGAAGGCGACTCCGCGAGGTGGGCAGCAGCTTTGTCTGCTCTCTGGGGACTTGGAGCTTGGCCTGTCCGGAATTGCAAAAGGCGCCATGGAGGGCCCTAGAAATCCACCGCCAGCTGGACGCATCAGCGATCAACGAAAAGCACGCGGATGCAGCATCCGCCACGGATACCGCCACGGATACCCTTTTCTGGCAGGAAGATGATGGAACATGGATGCTACTTTAGACCAATCTCCTGCCAGGCATGACAACTGCTGTACCGTCTCCATGGACGGGACGGCACACGCCATCGATGGCACTCTGAAAAGGCCTCCGTCCTCTCCACTGGAGTCGCCCAACGAGAAAGGACCTGGCACAGGTAGGTCCAAGCGATACTTGTTGATTCCCAAGTCTTGACTCATCAATTGAATTGTCTCCAAAAGACGCTTGGAACAGTGAATCTCGGGAAATGTGTATGGGTGTATTGGGACTCAGTTTTCATCTCTTTGAGGATTTGAGGACCTCTATACACAAGGATTGCTCATACATTTAACTAACTGCAGTACCAAAGAGTCCACGCGCGCACCACGTGGGCGTCCCATGCCCACCTGGCTGGGAGAATGGCCTCCCGCCCTGAAGTGACGCGGCCAAAATGAGGTGGAGCGTTGCCAAGCACAAGTAGTGCAACCAAAGATAAAATCATTCGATGGCTAGCAGCGGCTAGCAGCCAAGAATTTCTAGATTGGATCCTTGGACATGTTGGACACAGAATGGATGTGTCCAAAGAACATGAATTTCTCATCAAAGAACCGATAGATCATGCAACCCATCAAAATCTCACCATCCTCCCCAAGTTCAGCCGGTCAGTAAGAGGTCTTCAAGAAGCTCTCACGGGGGATGTTGCCCACCCGTCAACCCACGGCCGTTCGTTCCCCAGGCACCGGTGTAGCCTTGTTGCTCTGGTCCGGCACCGGCGTCGCACCCAGCGGTCGTTGGTCGGCCTCGCAGACCCGATGTCTCGCCCGAATCGTCCACGGATCGGGTCGCCTCTGGCTGTGCGAACGGCCATCTGAAGGGCATCCCATCGGCATGTCAGGGGGTTCAATTTTCACCCATTTTCAATACTGTAGTTGGGAAGTTGAGATCTGAAAGCAGCTCCCTTTGAAGGTGACACCCAGTCCTCCACCCGGACGTCGCCCGTCCAGCGCCAAAACCCGCCCTCCGCACCAGCCTCGCTCTCGCTCCCTGGGCGGCTCCGATCGATTGGGCCCGAATGAGAAGAGGCCAATCCCACACCAATGAGAACAGGTGCCCCATGGTGCCCCCAAAAAGTCGAAACCAAAGTCACTTTGACATACACATGAGCATGGGGTCGAGCCCAGAGTCTGACTCCCCACTGTTTTTTGCTGCGAATTCTTGAGACCCCCCGACAGAATCCATAAAATCTTGTGCCTCAAAAGGGTCGAGCCCAGAGTGTGTGACGCTCGTCCTGAGCAAAAAACGACCCCCCCCATTCATGACGCTCCGTCCGACGCTCCGTCCGACGCTCCGTCCGACCCTCCGACGCTCCCGGCAGCGTCCGAGTCGCATCTGGCCGAGCCACCCGAGTCGCTGCCCAGGATCGCCGCCGCCGCGGCGGCCGAACGCCAGGCGGTGAGGGTCTGGCGGAGGAGCGTGGACGAGGTGGCTTGAGCGCGCGCCTCGGACGGGAAATCCGATGCGCGCGGGAATGGCCGTTGCAGTAAAGGTGAACACATATCTAACATAGGGATTCCATAGTAATTCATATCGTCAATTCATATAACCAATAGTTTTCATCATAACATTTCATAATAACATCACATAGTTTCGTTGCAACATATGACCTCATTCTTTGTCATCATGTTGCATCATCAAAACCATCAATATCAAAACATTGTATAACACCATTGATTGTAGCAATTAACATCTAATCCTGGAAATATCTTATTCCTAAAGTCAACCTGCTTATAATGTCATATCACACAATTTCCAGAAATAATTATTTACATTTTTTTTATATCATTATGTTTGTTAAATCAAATATAAGTCATACATCTAATATATAATCATTTATTTGAATTATGGTGTTGAAGGTTTGAACCTGTGTATTTCCATAGGTTGCAACTTCTTATGATATGATTTTCTAATATGTTGCTTTCATTGTGAAGCAGGCATACCATTCTTACATTTGCGACAATCATACATTGCCGCTTGAACAGGGCTTCAAGTGTTTGAAGCATGACCTTTCGCCCCAAGGACTTCGTTCCAGAACTTTCACAAGACATCGAACCAACAGCGCGTCCCTAAAGGCTCTCACACATTCTCCTTCAAGGACCACTACAGTCAGTCCGCCACCCTCCATGGCTTGCGAACTGAGCGTCGGCCATTGCTTCCACCGCCTTCGTCCCGCCGCCGCGGAGCGGCACCGCGATGGGCGGTGCGACGGGGGCGGTTGCTGCGACGGGCTCCTCCTCCAGACTCGCAGTGGTCTCCAAGTAGGTGCTTTCATCCGGCCTCATGTGGATGGTGAAGCTAGATCAAGAATATCCTCATACAGCAAGAGATGGAGGGATGAAGTAGTATTTGAAGATGGAGGGGGAAAGGGGGTGGGTCATGGCTGGCATGAGGTTTCGGAGAAGTAGCATCAAACCCTAAAGGTAAGTCTTATATTATGTGGCAATGGATACTGATTTGATGTTTTATGGCGGGCGCAAACAGCAGGGTCATTCATTGTGCAGGGCTGTCCTCCTCCACGTGGAAATGGGTGCGGTTTTCTTTGGAGATTTGTTTTCGTGTTTGGGGATTCTTTTGTGCGGTCGTGGTTTCTCTATAGGTCCTTCAGTGAAACTGAAAAAGCTATATAGCCGTTCCCAGAATGAAAGAGTGTTGTTCATATGATGCACTTGGGTTGTTGCTTGAGGTGAACTAAAACACAACCACCAGTGGAGAAGAAAACACAGAGTGGGAAAAACATACAAAGCCAGAAAAGCAAGCGTAACACAACACTAACTCAAGGATTGAAAACAAACTTACCAAAAGTGAAAGCAACAAAGACCATAGAAAGAACACAGCCATTACGATAGGGAATCAGCACGCCACAAAAAGACTTGAGGCCGGGGGTTGGTGACGAAAGCTAGCTGGGCCGGGGTCAAGAGGTGTGGGTGACACGGTCACTCGAGAGGAAATGCGTCTGGACGCGAACCCGAGGCGGTGGATGCAGCTGTCGTGAACAGCGAAGCATCAATCGTATGGGTATAAAAAACAGGTTGAAAGTGTGCCGTGTGGCACGTGGTATGCATCCGGCGGATGGATAGGGACAAAGTCTCTACCCGATGTATACGGGCGAGGAAATGCCTCGTTCCGTACGGAAACGGCCGCATCCTTTTTTCTGCAGCGCAGTAGACCGTGGTCGGTGGTGATGGGTAGAGCCTGCGGCAGGAAAAAACATCCGAAAAATATGCAGCAAAAGTTCAATTGCTACTGCAAGGTGTTTTAGTGTGTGCGGCTGGAGGTCTACGCAGGACCGCCGAAACGGAAAAAACAACAACTGCGGACGGAGGTCTAAAAAGGAACGACACCGCGAAACCCGCGCCAGATCGGTGCACATGTGCGTGGAAGGGCCGACAGGGGTCAAGGACGTCAAAGGCGCCTGCGGAGCCAGCGGCAGAAGCAGCATCGGTGCAAGTAGTGGCATGTAGTAAGTGAAATATGGCATCGAGGTGTCTACAAGGAATCTGAAAGGATATGTGCAGAGCGGCGTGCGCGACGGGTACATGGTGGCATCTATGCAGACACTTACATGTGGCGCAGGATCTAATGCTCGCTGTCCTGGAACACGAAAAAACTGCACTCATACGTATAGAGCACGACGGACAGCGGTGCAGGCAGCATGCAAGCAAGTTTCAACGACCGGGTGCACTGCAGCGATGTCGGACGCGAGGCTGTGCGGATCCTGCGTGGGCGGCGATATATGCGAGCGCAGGGCGGCTGCTGGAGCAAAAGGCCGGCGAAAGGATAAGACGGAAAGTACGAACGCGAAACAGGAAGGTCGAGACGAGGAAAAAAAGATGGGCCGGCCTGCAAGGGAGCGTGCGCAGCAGCAGCGGGGCCTGCGGGGGGAGGAGGGTTGGAAGTGGAGCGCGTTGGGGGTCTGGTGGAAAGCACAAGAACGGAGGCAGGTGATGCGGACGTGCGGCAGGTGAGCAAAAGTAGTCTGAAGAGGAGCGAGAAAGAAGAGCGCGGAAGACGGGCAGGATCACGTAGGAGCTGTGCGCGATCACGACGATTCGATGCCATCAGCGAAGATGCCGCGAAGCGTGGCGCCGTGGGGATCAGCGAGAGCATTGTCCACGTACGGCTCATAGTATGTGCCTGACACTGATGGCATGCAGCAGGTTGAGGTCTGTCTCGTCCTGCAGCCGGAGCGGGTGGGTGCGGCGTACGTACCCGGAGCCGGCGTCCGAGGCAGAGACCTGGAGCTCGTCCATGAGAGGCCGGAGTCCAAAATTGTTGCCCTCCAGCGTCAAGATCATGTCCCCGTCTGAGCTGGGACGACAATGCAAAGCGAGGTGGCCGCACGAATGTGGCGGTGGCGCGCGCCACAGGGCCACGCTGGGGTTGGTCGAGCCTGCGTGGCGAAGGCTCCAGGCATGCTGCGGGAGCGCGGTGAGGTCAAGCAGGTCCGGGGGGCTCCAAAGGTTGACGATGAGGTTGCGGAGGTTCGGTGTCCGGAGCAGGAGCCAAGCCACATAATATGCAAAAATTGTAAGGCGGCCACGGGCCCTTCATTGCCCCTCCGGTGTAGAGCGCCTTGCCCCAAGGCGGAGCAGTGTCGAAGGAGAACGACAACTGCATGTACTCTGCCTGCGGAGGGAAAGCGCAAGACAGGAAAGAAAAGCAAGGAGAAGGGGAGGAAGGAAACAGAGTGCAGCCAAGGCACGAGGCCATGCAACGACGTGGGTGTTGATGGGTCTTGAACATTGACGCAACGCCAGCAAGTATTGCGTCAAGTGATCTTTGAACTGATACAGCACGCTGGGGTGAGTCTTGTTGCCGATGTGCTTGAGGATGAGGATGAAGGCGGCCTGATCGGGCTCAAAGTCGACATTCACCAAGGAGCCGTTTGTGGCGTAGCGGACGATCGAGATGTCGAGTGGCTTCGGTGAGGAGTCGGTGGATGACCGCGAGCTCTTGGCCTCTTTGGCCCTCTGGCTGCGGCGTGGGGTCAGGCTCGCCAGGGGAGCAGCAGCTGGCGAGGGTCGTTTCGCCGGCGTCGCAGGCGTCGGAGGTGGAGATGTCAGCGGAGGGTGCGGCAGGCATCTCCGAGGCGGTCCCCGGCTCTGCTTTCGCAGCCGGCGGGGCTGCAGTCGACTTTGTTGTCGTACCTGGCTTCCTGGGCGCCATGGCTGAACGCGGAAAGCAAAGGGGGCGCGGAGGGCAGCAACATGAGTTCGAGCTGGTAGTGCATGGCGGTGAAGAAGAAGAAATGAGCCTGCAGCGAATCGGAGGCGTCGGGAAAGCATGGGAGACTCGGGTCGGCGCGACGGTCCGAAGAGGACAGGCGGGGAAGGCGCAAGGGGAAGGAGACAGCCAAAGGCCGGGCGCGCGCGTCCGCGTGTAGAAACAAAAAAAAGAAGGTGCGCAAGGATCCGCGCGGCAACCGCGTTGTCGCACGTTGTGGGTCACATAGGGGTAGACTAAGGAAAAGAGCGAAAACACATCGATGACAAAAGCAAGCAGGCAGGAGACGTAGAATCTGCAAATTCATCCGGAAGCACGTTGAAAGGTAGGCACAAGAAGATGACTTGACGTACGCGTAGGGTGAGGTCCCAGGAGATGACAGCCAAAGGCTGGGTCTGCGCGCCTAACAGGGGTAACATAGTGGATGTGGAAGGCGCGTCGGTCGGGGGAGGGAGGGGGGTAAGAGAATTGGAAGAAATGGAAGCAAGCAAAAGAAAGCAAAGCGCATGCAAAATGCTGCAAAGCAACTGACGCAAAGATCTGCGCCGCAATGGTGTGAGCGACACGACATATGAATGTGGCAAAAGTGAACGAAGGTAGAAATGCAGCATCCTTCACCACTCTAGGTACTAGTTGCGTGTGAAATTTCTGCCAGGCTCTTAGAAAAACAATGAACAACCCGGAGGCCGGACCTTGGCCGGAGACTGGTCCAATGAGAGATGGTCTGAACAGAGAAAATGGCCAGCAAGTACCACTCAGGTCAGTCCACTCAGGAGCAAGTGGTATGGTCATCCCAGCCGTAAAATCCGACGGGTGGACGGCTTTTTCCTGGTGTGGTTGGCGGTCCCCGGTTTTGACCAAAGGCTCACCTCCTCTTGTACTTCCAAAAGGATCCGTCTTGGCCATAGTCAGTCACGTCTTCCAAGACTCGCTGAGATCGTCGCACTGAATCAGCAGCAGGCGTCCTAGATCATCACCCAACACGAAGGCCTGGGACCGTCGCACAGCTCGTCAAAGGTCAGTAATCCTCCCGGTCGCGCGAGGAGTTGAAAGGCAGGAAGGCGGAGGTCGCAAAAGTTGTTGCGAAAATGGCGGATGGAGCATGGTCTTTTCATCCTGGTGTCTTTGATCCGAGCGCCATCCAATGAAAAGACCCCTGAGATACAAAATGAGATCCGTCCGATGCTCCGATGCCCGCCTGGACCATCTGCATCCATTGAGTTGAACATCATGTTCAAATTGGATCTTGGCCAAGAAACCAAGATCACAACCGGCATCATCCGGCCAAGAAGCAACCAATCATATCAATCATGGATGAACAAAAAGCCAAGAACCCAATGTCATATCAATCTTGTCACAATGTCAGCTTGGATGCTACACTCAGAATATCACGAAATCCGAGGCACATGGAAATGCCGTGCTTGTTGAGCTGATCTTGCACCTTTTTGTTCATGCAACACAATATGGGTCCTTGTATGTCCTTGTGCTAGTCAACTGATTTGACAATTCTTGAGTTTTCAAGAGGGTAGTGGTGAGAACGGTGTCTCATCTTCTTGTGTGTGGTGTCTCATTTGGGACTTGCGAACTCGCAAAATCCTGAGTTCCTAGAGGTTGCGAAGCATTGTGAAGACGCCGCATTTCTGAGTTCCTGTGAGTTCCTCTGAAGAGACAAGCGAGAGAATGCAACAGACTCATACAGACTCCATTGCTGAAAAAAATGCCCTTGGTAGACAGATGTATACAGTAAAACTGTTTTGCAGACTGGGTGAGAAAAACCGTTGTGCGGCACCTGATCCGCGGAATCACAGACCGCTCGCTCGCCACCTGGCCACAAAAGGAACGATGGCCGACACCCCTGACCCATCGGGACCGCAGAACCCTGCACTGCAAGAGGGCAGGACGTGTTGGAACTTTGAACAAACACTTTCTACTTCTTGGGAGGGAAGCTCACGGAGCGAAGCCGACAGCAAACAGCGGCGGACGGGCGGCAAGCGGTCGCACACTTTTTTTGGCACGGGAAGAGCGGGCAGGGGTCGACGGCGGGGAGATGGCATCAGCCTCAGGTCGTTCCGGAGCGGGACGACGCACGAGAACGACAAAGCAGGAGAGCAAAGGAAGCGGCGCAGAAGCGGTATAAGCGGCAAATAGGGAAGCAGCATTTACGACCAAGGAACCGGAAGTAGTCCCGCGTGGCTTCGTGCGGAAACCGAGGCGCCGCCAGAGGCGGCCGAGGCGCGCGGAGCGGCTGCTTATGCCCGGCGGAGCGCCGGGGGCCTTTGCACTTGTTCTTGCAAAAGGCCTTGCAGCGGTGACAGCCGAATCGGAAAGCGAAGGACCTAGAGGAAAACTCGAAGCACCGCGGCGACCACGAGGCCAAGCGGCAGGTTGTGCTCTGTGTGGTGAACGCACCAACCTCGCGGGCAGATGGGACAGGGAACTGGGGAGAGGGACCTGGGGGCAGAACACTGTGGGCAGGGAACTGGGGTGAACGAAAGGTAGCAGGGAGTCACAAATAATCCGGGACTTTCCAGACCACCGCCGTGCCTGGCCAGTGTGAAACCTCCAAAAGCCAAAATGGCGCTTTCCGACACAATCTTTCCGCGTTTCCCTGCCGAGCCGCCACAAAAAAATAGAAAACTGCAAATAGCTTGGTTTGAGGCCACTCTTGAAGACTGGAGGAACTGAAAACATGCCACTTTGAAGCGTACATGGCCCAAAACCATCGCAATTGACGGGTTTTGTTTTGAGCCATTGTGAAGCCTCCAAAAGCCGAAAAAATCCTTTCCGACAAAATCTTTCCAGATTTCCCTGCGCCTGCCACGAAATGCTTTTTTTTTTCGTAAGGCCCTCGCGCGCGCGCCGCAAACCTGGATGTCTCGCGTAACATCTCCTGAGGCGCTTCCCTTTCCCCGCCCCTGACTCCCTCTCTTGAAACCGCCCCATAAAACAAATTCTCCACGCTAGCTGCATTGGGCTGCCCCGCGCCGGTTGGAAACTTGCGGTCCACGCCCGGGATTTTCGAAGCCAGAAGCCTGGACAGTGTATAAACGCTTCAAGTAGAGCAAGTTTAGAAACAGAGTGTGGGCAAGAATCCTGTTTCAAGTCTTTGCGTCTTCTTACATCAAACGAAGACGGAGGAAGCGCGCAGGTGCAGAAATACATTCTAGCTAGTGTGACTGCACGTTTGATGCGTTCGCTGACCGTTCTGTACGAACGACGACTTCTTCTGATTCTGCCACCATATTCATAAGCAAAAAGCCCCTGTCATCGGGGCCCACTGCTATTAGGTTGGAGGCCTCGTTTTCATTTTGACACACGGCCACTTTCCTTGAGAAACCTTTCAAGGGCTTGTTCCACAAGAGCTCGTAATCCCAAAACAACAGTCAACAAAACCCCAAGACTCCGCACTTCACATCATGTGATTGAACACGAATGAGTCATCTCCACAAAACATCATGTCAACAATATCATATTCAGCCTCCAGTGCAGAGGGGAGTGGAAAAAGAATCAAAATCAGTTGAGATGAATGTGGAGATGGCACAGCAAGTAGAAGCCTTTGAGTATACGGGCATTGTTTCCACGGAATAAGCAGCACATCTCCCACACGATGGTCCTATCCCTATCCAAACTGTTCGGTTTATAAATGTATATGTGGGTACCGGGCAAACACTTTGTACTCTCTCTTGACACTCTTTGCTAGACAATCTTTCTTGACACACTTTCTTGACACTATATGCTTTCTTGACACACACTCTTGACACGACACTCTTGCTTGACACTCTTTCTTGACACTCTTTGCTAGACAATCTTTCTTGACACTTTCTCTTGACACTCTTGCTTGACGCTCTTGCTGGACACTCTTGCTTGATACTCTGTCTGGGCACTCCTTACTAGACACTCTTGCTGGACACTCTTTGCTAGACACTCTTGCTGGACACTCTTGCTGGGCAGGACACTCTGCTAGACACTCTTCCTGGACACTCTTGAAATGCCATTCTGCTGGGCTAGACGCTCTTTCCTGACACTCTTTGCTAGACGCTCTTGCTTGACACTCTTGGTGGGCACTCTTTAATCCCTCTCCTGAAGCCGCCCCATAAGGCAAAGTCTATATTCTTGCTGCGTTGGGGGGAGGCAAAGTCTATTTTCTTCCCCCAATTTCTTCTATCCTTGAGGTATGAACTATAAAACCGAGAAGTGCATGGGAGTTTAGAGCTGCAAAGTTTTCGAAGGTTCCCATCCGCCGCGGTCGCCTGTCTCCGGGAGTCAAATGCTCACTTCAATGAGCAGGCGAGCGATCCCATGCAAATGGAGTCAAATGGATGCTAAGTGCGAATTTTTCTAAGGTTCCCATCCGTCCGGGAGTCAAACGCTCACTTCAATGAGCAGGCGAGCGATCCCATGCAAATGGAGTCAAATGGATGCTAAATGCGAATTGTGTGAATGATTGGAACATGAAAACGCTAAACTGCTCATTCCGGTGCAAAAAATCAAGGTTCCTGCAGGTTATGTCAACCTTTTCTTCCATGCATACTTGGACAACGAGTTGCATGAAAACCCTCCTTGCAGCCAAAAAACAAACCCTGCAAATGCCACCTGCAATTGCTCGGCTGCCGTGGAGAAGTCGGCCCCCAGGGTACACTCCGTCAAAGTCGACTCGGCGCCGTCGCCGACAGTGACGGAGTCGGGCAAGTGCGGAAAAAGAACCTGAAGGTAGGAGCGAGGCGAACGGTACGAGAAGGAATCGGAAGCAAGTCGAGGGCACCTGCGCGTCCCGGTACATTAAGTACCCCAGGAACGGCGCGTGAACGGCGAGTCGCCGCAGCTGCTGCTGCCCTGACTTCTCCGTCGTGAAAGACGGCAGCTTCTCCGCCACGGCGTGGAAAGTACCTGCGCGGAAGACGCGGAGACGACGCAAAAACGACGTATCCGGAGCAGAAGGAATAGGACCTCGGCTGGCCAGCGCTGCGAAGGCGGTCGCGGCCTCAAGAGGCAAGGTGAACTTGCCCTTGAGGCCGCGGCTGCGGCGGTGCTGGCCTGGGCAGTAGAAACGCGAGCGACGAAAACGAAACAAAGGGAAAAAAGACTTGCAGTCAAGCAGCCCCACTGCTGCGTGCGGCTCTGCGCAGTGGCGGCTCCAAGCTTCAATGCAGCGGCGCTCGCCGGCATTCACGGAGTGCGTGGCAAAGTCCGTGACGAAGCTTGGAGCCGGCAGCCGAGCGGTACCCCGTCAGCAGTGGCTGCAGAAGGCCCTCACTGGAGTTGGCGTGCCCAACCAGAAGAGCCGCTGGAGCCACTCGGGCCGGAGGATCCGGATTTGCTGGAGCGCCCGGAGCGGCCACTGGGGCCACTCATAGAGCGCCTCAGGGAAAGCGAAGAGAAAGGAATCGAGAAGGACGGAAAGAATACAGCCACAAGCAGGAAACCATAGAAAAGGAAAGGAATGTGGCCGAGAAGCAACTTAGCCTTTTTGGCAGCTGCGCCCGGACCGCGGATATTGCGGAGGGCGTCGCGTGCTGCTTTCTTTTGCGCCGGAGACCACGCCATTGCGAAAAGAAGCAGGACAAAAAGAGGGATAGCGAGGCGTAGCATGGAGCGGGTCGCAGCGTCGGTCTAAAGGAGAAAAGCCAGGAAGAACGAACCAAGCGCAAAGGGAGCAAAACAAGTAAGAAACATAAACATTCACAAAGAAGCAATGAAAAGCAAGGAAAAGCAAGACAAGCACAGAAAAGCAGAAAACGCAAGAGCGGGAGCAACCACGGAAAAGCGATGAGAAGCAAGGAAAAGCAAGAAAAGCAGGAGAGGTCATAGAGAAGCAAGGAAAAGCAAGAAACACAGTAAGAAGCAGATCCACAAAAAATCCCCAAACTTGGACATTCACTGTTCGTAGACCTTCAAAAAACTCCGTTGAATGCATCAAAATTGACAATGGTTTTCATCCATGATTGGAGTATGTATTCGCATGTGATTGAGAGAAATCAACATTAACCCTCGTTGAGAGAAACCGAAACACACCGACCCGTCCCATGTTGTGGGAAATTCCTTCATGTCACAAGGCACAGTCTCTCCATCTCCCCCATATTCAACCACCCAGGCGCAGCTTCTCGTTCTCAACTCCCAGCTGGAAGGGAACCGTGCTTTTCCCCCGCGTGGATGTGGGCGCATTTTTCGAGGTGCCTGACGGGCTCTCGGGGTGGCCAGGACGGGCAGCCGCGTGTCATTCCGGACGTGGCCGCGTCCTTCCGCGTCCTTCCCACCAGCTCGTGTGCATGAAGGTTGAAGAGATCGATCACGGAAGAGTGGGTGACTCCCAATGTGATGGGCTGTGATGTGACGCCCAATGGTAGCGCACATAAAGCTCAAGGCATGGGCCGGGTGGACGTGTGTTGAGGAACCTACCAGAGATCTTTGCACGCACCATTCTGTTTCAGCCCTTTCTGTAGCCCATTCAAGGGTGCAGTTGGGGTTGTTTGTTGCCAATTTTTTTAATGGCAGTTTTTTGGTTGCTGGTTGCTTCATGTTTTCTTGGCATTCTCCATTCGGCGGTTTCTGGGCTTTTGGTGGCTTTGGGTGGCTTTTGCGTTTTGGCTTATGCTGTTTTCGGGCTACTTACTTTTTGGTTGGTGTTGGCTTCTCGACTTTGGGTTGCTTCTGCTAGCTTTGGGTGGCATCTCGTTTTCGGTGCCTCAATGGGTTCTTGGTGGTTTACGGGTGGTTTTCTTTAATTACGATACCAGTATTGCCACAAAACACGGCTACGTACAGAAACTGGGCGATCCGTCATTGAATTCCACAAAGGCTTCCAAATACCAACGCCCCACATACAAACGAGCCCGAGGGTGCTGCAGCAAGCGTCCTGACGCAGCGAAGTGCAGATTTTGGATCACAGCCTCCTTCATAGGTAAAACGGAAGAAAGAACAGTTGACCAAACATCTATCTTCTTTTCAACTAAATATACTCCCAACAGCAGAATGCAGTTGGGTTTCAGCCAATCCCAGCCAGTCCAAAGAACAGCAAACGACATGTTACTAAAGTCTCTCAACACGTTTTGGCTGGGCGTGTACTGGTCAGGCTCTTTGTCAATTACCGTGCTGCTCCGAAGCCACAGCTGGAGGCATATGGGTCTGCTTCCTCCTTCAATCTGCAAAGGGCGGGCATGGAAACCCGGCTTCAACCCCCAGGTGCAACACGGACCGGCGACTACCCCACCCCTACAGTTAAGGATGTGAGCGGACCGGGCGTGGACGGTCAAAAACACCAACATCCGCACCAACATCCGCATCATTCTTCCAACATCGGACCGATTGAGCGTCTCACCTCTTTGGTCGTTTCTCCGAAACGCCTGGCATTCGGAGCAAGGCGTTGCTGGTTTCGCCCCCCCGGCCCGCCCCGCCTCGCGCCACGGCCGTTGCTTCGACCGAGAGTGAGAGGTTCAAGCGCTCGCCGTGGGCATTCAGTCCATGGAGTCCATGGCCACAAAGGTCTGCTTGCGTACTCGCCTTGGTTCTGGCAGAGAGGAAGAACCTTTTCTGGCACCAAGAGTGGGCACCAAGCTCAGGCCGGCCTGGCACTTTCCAAGCAAGGTGGAGAATTCGTAATTCAATGTAATTCAGGCTGAGGTTCGCATTGGTTAGTAAGTTTCCTGTTGCACAATTGCTATGTTGTGATTGCAGACTGAGGAGGCTTTCCTCTTGTCGCAGTAATAGTATATATAATATAGTGATATAACATATATACTATATACATGCAACTAATCGTTCTTTTGCAATTCTCAATTCAATCGCCTTTCGAGTTACATTCGCTTGGCAAGTACGTACACTGCCGTCCTCTCAGAGCTTTACTGCACGTCTTAGATTTTGAGTATTCACCCGAGTCGGTCCCAAAGAAGGTGGCTCCAAACATATGCAAATTGCTGACTAAGATGTTTGGCGATATTGAGTTCAGTATTTTCAGTGGAAAATAAGGGGAGATGTCAATACGGAACATACATTTGTAATTATACATGTGTCTCGGAATCCATAGGCCAAGCTGAGATGAATTGGGTTGTCCTCGGAACAGCACCAGTGACAGTTGATGCAAGCAAGGCTCATTCACAGTTTGGGGCTGTGATGGCCTTAGCATGCGGAAAAGTGGGTCTTTTAAGCATCGAAAAGGGCACAATTCAGTGCAACACCCCAACACCCTTGCTTCTTTCCAACGAAACTCCGCGCAAATACTCTACAGAACATGCACGTGCACACACACAAGCACTATATCGTAACAATATTTATTAGAGTTATATATTTACTGTTATATTGCAACTGGATCCAGCTATCTGCTTCCTATCCCATCCACATGGCCCTGAGCTCCGTACTCCAAGCGGAAAGCCTGAAGTGCTCCTGGCTTTTCAATATACATTGGGTCAGCATAAGCTTGTAGCAGCTCACCATGTTTGAGAACTTTACAATGCTCTACAACTCCCACTTCTACACCTTTCTATGGCTTGGGTGGGGTCCCAGACAGGCCTGTAGGCTGTGATGGGGCTGCCACTGGCGTCGAGGGCTTGCAAGCAGCTGGATCCTGGAGACATGGGGTGGAAAAGACCAACTGTGAGAACCTCGCTTGGCCTCGTCAAACATCCTGCAAATGCTTCATCTGGCACAAATACCCCTCAATGTAAAACGGGGAGGTCCCCCAAGTGGTTTCCAGATTTCTTAGATTTCTTGCTTGCTTTTAAATGAAAATGGCTTGGTTCTAGATGTTCTAGGCTTCGTCAGAGAACTTGTGCACCGAATCCAGCAAAACCACTCTCTACAGCTCTCAACCCCCCAGCGCCTGCTGCACTGCGTTGACCTCCCGGACCGCCGTCCTGACCGCCCGGCCACGTCCGGTCGGTTCCGGTCGGGATGAAGTTTGGTCAACTGCTCAACCACATGAAAACCATTGAAAACCAATTGAAAGGCAGGTTGGACCTGGTTCGGTCGCCTCGATGGTCTTGATCCTGAGCAAAACTCATATTAGACAATGATTGTTCGAGATTCAACCCATATAAATGACTGGCGACCTCGAATCCTACAGATCTTCCATGATCTTGCAACATTTCCAACCCACACGCGTCCGCCTCAGCCACCCGGTCGCTCCTGCCCAGTCGCGCGGCTGGCCGCTCAGGCTCGGCAACGGGACCTGGGTGTGAACTCGACCAAATTGATTTCACTTGGACGACGAACACCACGAACACCAGGTGTCTTTCATTGTCTTTCAATGGTCTTGGAAGCCCAGGGATGATGTCAGATTTGGGCAACAAATCCTCGTTCGCCGGAGGCAAAAGGCCTCCAAGCTCCCATCGCAACCACCAGAAAACCGGGATGTTTCGAGCTGGCTCGGGCGTGTCCGCAAGGCCTGCGTGCAAAGCAGGTCGCCTTCGTCGCACGACGTCCGCCTCGGGCAAACCACCCGAAACGGCCAAGCGGGCGGAGCACCTTCCCGTGTCGGATTGGTGATGTAGAGTCTAATAGCAATGCCCTTGCTCCTAAGTAGCGAACCTTGCTCCTAGAATCGCAGCTTTTTGAAGATGAAAAGGCCGTTGCACGGTGAGGAGACTCTGGACAAGTGAAACGTGCCGTGGCTTCAATGTGGTTTCAGAAGCCTTCACTGTGACTCAACCAGCTCTGAAGAGTTGGGCAGACCCAGGGCCCAAGCAAAATCCAAGTACCCTCGCATACAAACAACATCAAACAACTGCCAACAAACAATTTCTGAATTTGATCAGAAGGCTCTGGCTCACCTGTTTATGGCCCCTTGCTAAAGGCAAGGTTCGGAGGTACTTTTCGCTTGTGACTTGGCCTTGCCCTCGTGGGGATGGTCTGGGCAGCACTTAGGTCAGAAATGGGTCTTCAAATCCGAAGGTTCTCAACTTCTCGCCAACAACTGTGTGGCTTCGTTCAAGTTAAAGTATGTTCAAGCTCCTTCAACAACTCACATGGTCACATGGTCATCAAAAGTCGCCTGACCCAAACACCCACTCAACGTCCGTCACCCGTCCCAAGTCGCTGCATCGCTGCATGCTTCTCCCACGGCGTGCTTCGCGCCGCTGCTTCCGCCGGATCTCGGGTGCCCGTGCCACCGCAGACTCAAGATCCGCGAGCACTCGGTGGACTCCCGTCCAGCGCTGCTCGCTCAGCGAGGGAAGAGCAATCACCTCCGCTGAGCAGCGGAGGGAATCGTTTCACGGGTGTCCGTTGCATGTGATTGATTCTCTGAATGAGACTCTAATATGTCGTGTTGTGACAAATCTAGAACTTCTTGTCTGTCTCATCAGTTCTTCTGTGAAATGCGCCCACGCAAGTTCTCTTCGTCTGGTCAAACCTCCAAAAAGGGACCCTCCCCAAAAACGGAGACCGCATCCTCGGCTGCGCCCGCGAGGCCTCGACCTGCGCATGTTCGCCACTCCGCGCCTGGGGCACCGGAATGGGCTGCAGCGCCTGCGGCCTCCCAACGTGAGTGGACTCCCCGGAACTTTGGGTCATAAAAGAATCCATGAATCCATGAGGGATCGGCTTGGGACCGA